TGCTCATATTTGCTATCGTTAGCCCCACAGTATTCGTCGATACGTGGTGATGTGCGACGATATACGTTACCTGCAATCCCAGTGAATAACTTCCCCCCGTTGAAAATGACCACTTGTTACTTTTTCCACACACTTTCTCCTTTGCCACCTTGCCATGTGTAAGATGCTCCAATGTTCTAATTCTTAGCCACTTTTTATGCTCCAGGGAAAGCAGGCTCGTCACCATGTCATCTACCATGGGAATCCCGGCTAAGGATTGCTAAAGGAGTGGCCCGTGGGCTGTCATTTCTCCACGACAAGAAGCATGTGCATGGAAATCTGAAGCCTAGTAATATACTCTTGGGTTCTGACATGGAGCCTCGGATCGGAGACTTTGGGCTCGAAAGGCTTGTGACCGGCGACACAAGCTCTAAAGCTGGAGAATCGGCTCGAAATTTTGGGAGCAAGAGGTCGACTGCATCGCGCGATAGCTTTCAAGATTTCGGAACAGGTCCCAGCCCAAGCCCGAGTCCAAGCTGGATCGGAGGTTTATCCCCTTATCATGCTCCGGAGTCGCTCCGGAGCCTCAAGCCCAGTCCGAAGTGGGACGTGTACTCCTTCGGGGTGATCTTGCTTGAGCTGCTGACAGGGAAGGCTGTGGTTGTTGATGAGTTGGGCCAGGGAAGTAATGGGCTTGTAGTTGAAGACAAGAACCGGGCTTTGAGGATGGCTGATGTTGCGATTCGAGCAGACGTGGAGGGTAAAGAGGATGCCTTGTTGGCTTGCTTCAAGCTAGGGTATAGCTGTGCTTCTCCTCTGCCGCAGAAGAGGCCAACGATGAAAGAAGCCTTACAAGTGATTGAAAAATTCCCCTCTTCAGCTGCATCATATCCTTATGGTCACTGATGATTAATAATAAAGAATGGATCACATTGTAAAGAGATGTATCTATCGTTGACTTTTATAGGACGTTTGTTTGTCTCAAGGTTTTGAGTTGTATTTGGGTGAGATGATATATTATTAATTCCTAGATCTATATTCGTGAAGCTAGTTTTCACATTTTTTTGACTCAGTCTACTCCATTTCTTAATCTCTGGGTCTCTGGGTCTCGGGAATGGATCGGTTCATCTCATTTTCCACCTCCATGTAACTTTTCTAGGTAATCTTGTCTCCATTAAAAAATTAAAAAAATAAGTCTGCTAGTGAAATTACGGTATCCAACACATAAGTTTATAGTTAAAAAAATAAAAAAAAATAAGTCTGCTAGTAAAATTACGGTATCCAACACATAAGTTTATTGTTTATTATAATATTGTAATTATTATTTTGGCTTTTAGCCATTAAATCCTTTAACTTGGTATTGGGGACATTGTTATCTTTTTCCTATGAAATAAATATTTTTTGATAAATGTATAGGTTATGTTGGTAATTTTAGTTTTAAATACATGGTCAAATTCAATCCTTGAGTAAAATAATCTAATGCATATTCAAGAGTATTTTTGTATTTTTATTTTTTATAAAATAATATAATTATTTTGATATTTTTAAAGATATTAAATATAATTATATTAAAAAACTTGCATGTGCTAGCATGGGGATAGCTTCCATGCTATTTGGGCGACGCACGAGAGGTTAGCTATCAAATGCCGCCTTGACGTGTTTCATCTAAGAAGACGATGTGTGTTATTATTCACGGTGGTTTGACATGTGCTTATTCATCAGTTGTTATTTGTTAAAATGAATTAAGAAAAAAATTATTTGGATAGAGAAAATTAAAGAATAAATTATGGATACGTGTATATAATATATTTTACATTCTTGATCCATATTTAATTCAAACAAACATTTTCAAGTTGTATTATATAATTTTTATTATTTTATTAGTAAAGAATAAAAAAAATAAAATAGATGACACATAATTTAACATCGGTTTTATCATAAACTTTTAAACAATTCAAGAGATTTTAACAAGTATGCTCTAGCATGGAAACAATTTAATTTTTTTAGTTTTACTTATTAATAAAAAAATTCAATATACCTCATAAAATTAAAACTTAAAAAATAAACTTTTTAATTGTTTTAAATCAAAACAATAAAAAATATATAATAATAAATATTGAAATAAAATTTTAGGTTTAATTTCTTAGACTAACAAAATTCTCATACAAACTAATTAACAAACAAACAAAAAATTTCTCATACAAGAAATTCAAATGTAACCCAATTCATTAAAAAAAATAACCATGAAAAAATTGAATTTTAATATCATATTATAATTCTTTTTTTATTTATTTTTTTAATAAATTAGGTAAGGGTTTGAATTTCTCAAATGAGAATATTTTCTCAATTTGCATAGAAATCTCTACAGGGAAGTATTTAAATTTATAGTCACATTGATGACTAAACCTAAAATATAAAAACATGTTGAACTAATTCCCCTAAAACTTTATACCATTTATTAAAATTTAATAATGCTTGGGAAAAAAAATCAAAATGTCCTATTAATATTTTTCATATTAAAAAATTCCTTGTTGCAGGATATATAACGTACTAGTATCTTGCCACGCTTTATTAAACTATATATTAACAGTTTTAATTGCTTTCTAACACATTGTTTCAAATTTAATGTTTATTGAATTCAAATGCTTAATGGTTAAAATTACATTGAATTTATAACATTTTTGAAGATTTATACTACCCTGGTTGATTTTAAAGCTTGAATTTGAATTAGAAATATACTAGTTAAAGTCTCATCTTAGTTGCTCAAATTAACAAGTTTAAAGAAAATATAAATAATTGATAAAAATATAATTTAATTAAAATAATATATATATATTAAAATAATAATATATTAAATTTACTCGAATTAATTTGAATTAATTTATCAACTCCACTACGGTTTATGAAACAATAATAACTCAATAGAAAGTAAATAATTATTTTTTTATTAAACTATATTCTTAATCAACTTAACGTTAAATAATATAATTAAAAAAAATCAATTAAAAAAATAAACCAAGTCAACCTATGTTAACCAATATAATTCAATTAAAATTAATTTATATAACTCAATTCTTAATTAATCTAATATTGAATAATAAAATTAAAATAATCAATTAAAATAATAATACGTAAAACCACTTAAGTTAACTAGTCAATTATATAATTAAAGTTATAAGATTAAGATAATCTCATAAAAAATAAACTAAAACAAATTATGAAGCTTATCTTTAATTAAGTCAATATTTAATGATAAAATTAAAAATAAAATTAATTAAAGATTAACATTCTTCATTTGGTGATCTCATTAAAAATATTAAATTGATATAGTTATTTTTATTCATATAATTCTTCTTGTATTTAAATGGAAACAATAACAAATCAAATACTCATGGATGTTTTTTTAATAATCCAAATTTAAGGATGTATAGTAAAATATTAAAAATATAAATTATTTCCTTATAGATTCAAAACAGTTTTTATATTATACTTATTTAATTAAAATATATGCTTACTCATCAATTGTTATTGGTTAAAATAAATGAAAAAATTATTATGATAGAAAAAAAACATATATCATGAATATGTGCATATAATATATTCTAAATTCTCTATACATATTCAATATAAAAAAATATTAAAATTTTATATTATATGATTTTATTGGTAAAATATTTATTTAAAATAATAATAAGAATACAAGAAACATATATAATTGAACTATTGTATTATCATAAATTTCTAAATAATTTAAGAAGCTTTAATAAGGACTGACATAGCATGGATACAATTTAATTTTATTAGTTTTAATTTCTTAATAAAAAATATTCAATATACCTCATAAAATTAAAACTTATAATTGGTTTAAATGAAAAAAATAATATATATATGTATATATATATATATATATATAGTTATGGTTACCAAAGGGCCTAAAGTGCATTGTTCGAAGCCCAATGATTTGGTCTCCTTTCAAAACCTAAGCCCATAAAACACCTGGATCCAAAAAGGACCCACCCACAAACCCCTGTTCAGACCGCAACGGTTAGGTAGTTCCATGTCAGAGACTTCAGCCATTTTGAATTCCAAAAGGAGCCCGCTCTCCTCTCTTTTTAAACTCTCTCGCTTGTTCTCACTCTATCCACACACAAAATACGCACAGTGGCTCAAAACATCGATCGATCGATCGAGAGAGACAGAGATGGCAACTAATATCGGCATGATGGATTCGGCTTATTTCGTTGGCAGATCTGAGATTCTCTCTTGGATTAACTCCACTCTTCAGCTCAATCTCTCCAAAGTCGAAGAAGTAATTTCGTTGCTGATTCTCTTCTTTCTCTCTAATTTTGCCCTAATTTGTCCTAATCGGTGATTTTTTTTGTTTTGATTTTCTCTAATCATGCAGGCATGTTCTGGTGCGGTGCATTGTCAGTTAATGGATTCGGTTCATCCAGGTATGGTGCCAATGCACAAGGTCAATTTCGACGCCAAAAATGAGTACGAAATGATTCAAAATTATAAGGTTCTGCAAGATGTGTTTAACAAGCTTAAGATCACTAAGGTTTGTGTATGCAATTTTGCTTTTCAGATCTCTTGAATGTTTCGTTAGTTTGATTTTGATAATTTTTCTTGGAATTTTTTCTTTAGCATATAGAGGTGAGTAAGCTGGTGAAAGGCAGGCCGCTCGATAACCTGGAGTTTATACAGTGGATGAAGCGTTATTGTGATTCTGTCAACGGAGGACTTGTCAAGTAATTTCACAGTTTATTGTTTTGATAGGGTTTGCTTTGATTGAAGTATATAAATTGGGGGAATTGTTGTTGTGTGATTGTGGTCAATTGTTTGCAAAATACTTGGAACTTGAATTGCTGGGTGTGATGATGAGTTTTTTGGAATTCATGCTCAATTTCTGCGTTATATGATCTGCTATTGTATTTTCCGAATTATTTTTTGGATGTGGTGTTAGGGTTTATCGAATCAGTAAATTCCAAAATATTACTCGGGAAATACTTTTTTTCCCCCCTGACAATTTGGAGTAAAATCTCTTGAAATTGTGGAGTCTCTTTGCTTTTTGAGTAATGGGAATTAGAATGGCTTAAAATTGATTTAATTTAAATAAAATATGGGCCCTTTTTGGAAACGATACTAAAAAAAGGGAATTGATGTATTGCAATTTTTTTAATCTATTTTGATGCCAACAGAGTGAAAAAGTTATACATATTTTCTCCAGTTTCAACCTGTTTGTCTAAAATTATATGTACTGTTTTTACATGCTAAAATTTTGTCGATCTCTTCTTCTAACCTTTGTAATGTGCAAATCTTCAGTCATAGAGAAAAAGTTTGCAACCAGTTTTAGGCAATACTTGGAAGGTTTTACTTCCTTTCTTTTCGTAGATATAAAGTTGCATAAATGCTGTATGATTTCTTTTTTCATAAATAATAGGACACCTGTACAAGGTTTGAAGTGTTTGTTCTCACAGTGTTGAGAGTCACGGGTTTGTATTAGTATCGAATGTACACGGAAGGGATTGGTGCTTACTACTGATACGAAGCTACCTAATACAGTGGTCGTGATTTATACGAAGACCTCTATAGCTTATAAGCTGTACACGTATCAGATATACGAAGCTACCTAATACAGTGGTCGTGATTTATACGAAGACCTCTATAGCTTATAAGCTGTACACGTATCAGATATACGAAGCTACCTAATACAGTGGTCGTGATTTATACGAAGACCTCTATAGCTTATAAGCTGTACACGTATCAGATATACGAAGCTACCTAATACAGTGGTCGTGATTTATACGAAGACCTCTATAGCTTATAAGCTGTACACGTATCAGATATAGACTAACATATGATATCCTGTTAATGAAATTGCCTTTGACATTCTAAAAAAATATATGTATATTTTTGAGTTTTTAGTGTCCTTTTTCGGTTTGATAATTGCAAATTTCCTATTACTTTGAATTGATTTCTGATGGTATACGAACAATGATCTTTGTGAATAGAGTCCTAGTATAATCATGATGCATTGATGATTTACTTACTGCTTTTGTGGTTAGTTACAATCCAATGGAAAGGAGAGAGGCTTGCAAGGGAGGAAAAGAAACAAGCAAGAAATGTCTACAGTCTCAAGCTTCAAGCAAGGGCTCTACAACTGCTCCCAAAGTTCAGTCTTCTCACAACGCTCGAAGGAATGATGTGTCCTCGGCACACCCTTCAAATCAATCTGTGAAGGCTTCTAAACCTCCTTGTCCAGTGCCTGCATATGATGCAGAGGTATTATATTATTTTAAGGAACGGGACTTTCATAACATGTAGAATCTAATGATACAAATTGATATGCAGGTCACCGAGTTGAAGTTGTCAGTGGATAGCCTTGAGAAGGAGAGGGACTTCTATTTTGCAAAGCTGAGAGATATCGAGATTTTGTGCCAGAGCCCTGGGATTGAAAACCTGCCAGTACTACTTCTATGACTATCAGATTTGCGTTGTTTGACTGAGTAATTTAACTATTCTCTCAAAGGTGTAATCTGTGATCCCTTGTTTTTTCCACAGGTTGTTGCAGCAATGAAGAGAATCCTTTATTCTACTGATGATGATGCATCCGTATTAGCAGAAGCTCAAGCCATGGTGTCGCTTCACCAGAAGGAAGCACAGTACTTGGGTCCCATTGCTGAGATATCAACAGACGAAAAGGAGAATTCAGATCCTCAGAAGAGAAAGGACATTGTGAATCTTGACGTTGATGCTTTAGGTATCTCAACATTGTCGCCCAGGCAAAGGGTTTCTGATGCAACAGATGTCCATTGCAGCGGGTCACCTCTTATGACCTTCTGAATTTTTTACCATAATGTTTTCTTCAAACATATGTAGTAGTAGTAGCAGCTACAGCAGCACCTATATCTACAATATTCGCAGCCCTTTTACCAACAGTCCTGCTTGATGTTGTATATGTAGTGGATTTTACATATATAGCTCTGGAAGCAATAATAGCCCTGACAATTCAACCACAGGTGGTGGCATCTTGGACGGTGCTGCAGTTTCTGTAGCATCCACCCTGGAGTTTGCCAAGGATGTTATCTCTGGAAAATGACAGCAAAGAGCAGAAATGATGGCATGAGAACCGAACCTCTTCAAGGTTCTGTTTATTATTATTCTACAACTTCGACTTCGGCACTATTTGTGTATCGATCAATCCCCTAATAAATTTTGTTCTGTAAGCGGGTGTTTCTTGGTGAAAACTATATGAAATCATTAATCAAGCAGTCATTATTTTCACTTTGGCTCGTTATCTCCATTTCTTTCTATCTAGTCTGCTTGCTAATACTTCACAGTGAAATTTACCTTCTTTCTTCTGTTTTCCATGGAAAGACTAATCATGTCACAGAAAAGCAAGAGCAATAACAGCGAAATCTACCTACAGCCCATGCGGCATGAGCAAAACATCAAATTTACAATGGCAGAATACTTAAATATTACCATGATGTAGCATACCAGCAGGCAATACATGTACAGCAGCAACAATACTGTAAAATAAAATCAATTTTCTAGATATTTAACAGGAAATGCAGTTACTGTTTTATTGGTTGGTTTTGATGGACCACGTTTAATGTGGAAACTTTTGAAGACAAAAATGTTAGCTTCACTGTCTGGGATGTTGGAGGATAGGATAAGGTACCAACAAGATCTATTTATGCACAAAAGAATTTGCCAATTATATGTGAAACTGCACATGTACATATGATCCAATGTTTTTCCAGTTGGAAGAATGTATTAATCGGAGGTATTATTTATTTACTTTATTATGCGTTATATTGAACAAATCGTCTTCCCTTTTTTCTTCTTCTAATCCTTCATTGTGTAGATTGCACCGTTCTGGAGACATTACTTCCAGAACACCCAAGCCTTATATATGTGGTGGATAGCAAAGATAGAGAAAGAAAGGGTCACATGCAGTGGCTTTTCACCTTTGACAACAGAAACAATAGCGTTATGAAATACATGTTGGCTGGGAAGCCGATGTACGTCGAGGAGTTGAGGGGGAGATGGCTTGTTATAAGATTCAATGGAATAGTTAATCCTAGAAAAGAATTGTAACTAATTTGGGGTTGTTTCTATTATTGTAATTTAATTTTGGCCAATTAGTTTTTAATTTAATTTTATAGGGTTTAAAATATAAAATTAAAATATCATAGATTTTATCTCAATAAAAAGTGTGATTTGTCAACTTGCGTGAAAACTAGGAACTACAATGTGTTTTTGTCATTATATATTTGTCTTCAAGATAATGATAGTTATCAGTTTTCAAATTTGATTCTTATTCAAATTCAAACTTTAAAAAAAAAAAAAAGAGTTTGATTAAAACTTAGTTTCTCACATGCGAAGGACTTTGATACTATAAATACAAATCTTAATGTATGCACAAAAAGAAGGATGCCATTACCAGAGAGAACCTAAAAAAAGAAGAATAATATGTGAAAAGGGAGGACTAACATTCCACTCTCTGCTCTCTGTCGCCACCCCCCTTTCATTGATTTTCTTTCCTCCTCTTCTTCCTCAATTACCAAGAACAGACAAAGCATATCCTCCATTATTTTTCTTTTCCTCTCTGGCTTGAGACCAAAACCGCCACCACACTAGCCTTGGTCTCCCCTCTCAGCTGAACAAACATCCCCAATCATCACCATGCATCCCTCACCTTCGTTTTCAGCCACATCCATAGCCATGCTAGGTGAGAACTCCTTTTTTTTTTTTTGCTAGATTAATTAGTTTGTTACTATTACATACATGCGTGAATTACTCACGCATGCATGCAACAATGCTTATATATATATAGTTTTTTTACTTGTAATATAAATTTTATGGATTTATTCATTAGCACAAGAGTCAGGAATACTGTACTTTGTAGGTTGCGCAATATTTATCAACATCAAAGTTAGAAATATCCATAGGTGAATATTCACTGATACCAGAGTCGAGAATATTATAGGATGACCATAAGAACGGAATGCAAGCAAACCTTTAGCAATTTAAGATAAAACCAGCAATGCAGCTTACCTCAGGTAGGACGTTTAAGGGGTGATAATATCTTCCATTTCACGTAACCAGTCCCATACTATAGAATCTCTATTGACCATTTAGGGTTCTTAGTAACCATAATACTAGGTGACAACTCCTTAAACATGATATTTTTCCCTAAAAGAACAAGATACTAGATATCTTTTTTTTTTTTCAATTGTGTGATATATTTTTAATCGGTCGCCGCGATGTCCGGGTGTGACACCCATTATTAGAGGGTTCCACATAAAGTAAACAGTAAGCATTGTCTGAACTCGGATGAGGAGAAGAACTATGTGATAGAATTAATTTAAGGAATAAGAATTATAATAGAGAAGAAGTTTATGATTGGAGTTAATTTTCAGCACACCTCTATTAAAATATCCTTTGGTATTTATAGCCACACAGTACATAACATGAATCAACATAACTGAATTAACAAACAAATAGAAAAGAGTTAAACCACTATTCCACTTCTAACCACCAATAACTATTGAACCACGTTGTTGCCTACCCTGTGGTAATGCAATCACTATATGTTTTTGTAGCTTGATCTGTGGCATGAACCTACATTCTTGTGCATATCTCATGAGCATGATCTTTTAGCCACGTTGATGATTGGCCATGTTCTTATACGTATCATTGTGTTAGCCTTAACTTCAACTGAATATAAAGTCAATAAGATGGCTAAAGGATATTACCAAACCATCTTGCCAAATATGTTATTTAACTGCCTTGCTTGTGACTTTTTGTTATATTTTGTTTTTGTCCATGCAGGATTGATAACTCATAGGAGAAGGAGAAGCTTTAATAAGGTCTATTGAAGAGAGTTTATCTCGGGAGTCTTTGTCTCCTGAAATTAGTGATTTGATACCTGGTGCTCCTTTACCAAGTCTACTAGTTCATAGAATATCGTATTTGAAGTATGCAAAGATGAAAAAAAATAGGCAAAAAATTGCTAGGTAATGGTTTGATATATGAAAGTTTGAGTTTTTATTCTTATTTAACTCTGTTTACCTTAATGAAAGATACGTCGTAGAGGATATATGTAGACATTTGTGCAATCAATAAAATCACCATCGAATACATATTCTCTATTTCTTATTTAAATGATATGCTTGATCAATATTTGTCTTTAAGATGTTTTCAAAGATTGACTTAAAGAGCTAATATCATCAAATTTGATTAAGAAATGACAATGAATGGAATACCATATTTAAGACCTTAGATAGCCTTTATGAATGGTTAGCCAAGCTTTTGGCATTTTAAATGTGCCAATCATATTTATAAGGGTTGTGACTTAGGTATTCATACCATTCTTAAAGCCATTTATTATGGTTTATTTCAATCTTGTCCTAATATATAGCTAAGAGCAGGAGCACTTTTTTCAATTACATCAAGTTCTAAAAGTGCTCCAGCAAAATAAGTTCTTTCTCAATTTGAAGAAGTGTTTATTCTCTTATAAAAAAAAATATGTTTTTATACTTTATTGTGGTAATTAAAGGCGTAAAGCCATTTTCGAAGAAAGTGCAAGACATTATAAAGGGGCCTATATTAACTACCCTTATAGTAGTTTAGAGATTAAAAGGGTTATCATCATTTATAAAGATTTATAAGAAATGTCAACTTCATTATAAACCCTATTACTTAATGCTTGAAGAAGGACAATCTTGAGTGGTCAAATTTAGCCCAAAAAGCTTTTAAAAGAATTAATACTTTCATAACAAAAACATTTATTCTAGTACTTTCTAATTTTGACAAGTTATTTGTTATGGAGTGTGGTGCATCTCATAGTA